GTGTGTTCATGCAAGCTCTAGTTTTTTAACTGCTCGATTGCTGTGGATTCTTGCATTGTTAATTTGCAGTCATTTGTAGCTTTGCATAAATGCCTGCTTTTTTGTGAAAATCCTCTTGCAAATAAATCTTGCATCTTTATTAGTCTTTTATGGCAGTGCAATCCACTAAACGACTTTGCTCGCACAGCCGTTTCACGTCCAAGAGCTTCTGTCTGTAGCGTATGTGATGCTGCCATCATTGATGTGACATTCAGGCCCATTGTGTATTCCAGCTAGGAGACTGTAAGCAGTTTAAGAGCCGATTTCTTCTCGGCGGGGAATGTATGCCTATCTCTGGCCTGTCACTTAGATACCACCGGAACGGTAAATATGATTAATCTGCCTCCTTAATTACCCTGCAGTTCCATGCCACTAGTTATCAGCTGTCAGGAGCAATTAATATCTCTACAATGACTCTCGATCTTAGCCAGGTTTCCAAAAGAATGAATATTTCACTCTTGTAATTCTTTGCTTGGTTAATAGCTGTCGCCATGGAGACGGTGATGCTCAGACGGAGAGACGTAGCGCTTCGGTTTTCAAAACGCATTTTCATCCGGTCCGGTTTTTCTCTCCTAAAGATTGGGAGAAATGAAACGCATTCATCATTTCAAAAGACAGTTGGTTTACAAATGAGTGCAGCGGATTTTATGGAAGAGGACAGGGATGTTAGAAGCCCAAAAACTCGTTCTCTGTTCTCTGATTGTGAAATGATCAATGCACGTTATATAGTCTTATGAGCTCAGATATCGGTGCAGCCAGAACAGATGCTGTTATGCCGCTATGATGTGCGTGTCTTCACCCGTCACAGGCGGAGATGTATTAATCAGGTCAAAACTGTTTCATTAGAAAAGATTCTATCTGACCTTTCTGCAACAAGATTCGCAGAGCTCTAATTTCCCGTGAAATAGCACGCATCAGTGAGTCTGACATTTACATCGGCGGAAACCGAGAAACGCATACGGATGCCAAAGACGTGGTGTTGAAATTAAGCCGTGTGCAAAAGTGAGACCCCGGAATGAGGCAAATTAGACTTAATGGGGAAGTGGATCATGAATACCATATTAATTAACACTAAAATATTGCTGCTGTTGCTGTTCGCTGCGCCGTGGCATGAGTAGGATTAATAGGATTCGAGTAGAATCAACTAAATAAAGTCTTTAATGAGGTCATGAATATTTGATTTGCCAGCCGAATCCGATGTATTGTACTTTGTTTTGAACCGAAGGCCAATTATAAAGATGCTCGTCTCCATCATCTCTGTAATCATCTGGAGGAGTGGTGACTGTGCGCTTTCATCATGTTTTCATGCTTAAGAGATGGGAGGAACAAAGAAGGCAAGGGTAAATGCATAACTTACGATATGAGGAGAAACAAAAGGCAGCGTCCTTGCTGCTTCACTGCTCTGTCGGGTCAGTGACTTCACAGCATTTTTGCATGAAGGTACATCTTAATGAAACTGACTCCAGACTAGCTTCCAAAGCAGCATCACATCACGTCTAATGATCCCATTCTAGTGAGCTAAAGAGTATATTTAAAGATCCCATCAGAGTTTTGTGGCTTGCCAATCATGTCTGTTAGATTTGAGGAACTAATGTGACTATATTAACATTTACGTGCATTTCAAATGTACAGTCTTTCTCTTTTGACTTCTTGTTTACAGGGGTGTACACAGATTTGTGTTTAATAAAGTTCCTTAAAATGAGTAGTTAGTTGCCAAGGCAGCATTTATAATATTTAAGTTTACAATATTTTATTTGATTTATTTCAATTAACAAAAAATTTAGTTTTAGTTTAGTGGTTAAAATGTTGCATTCGTATTCTCATTTGTTCATATTGGTTAATGCATTAGTTTACATGAACTAACTGAGCAATATATTTTTTAAGCATTTATGAACTGTTGTTAATGTTAGATAATACAAATACAATTCTTCATTGTTCACAATGCAATAATGTGTTAATTAATGTTCACAGATATACAACTTTTGATTTTAAATGTACACTCTAAAAAAAGCTGGGTTGTTTCAACCCAAATTTGGGTCAAATATGGACAAACCCAAATGTTGGGTTAAAAAATGTAATTTAAAATTTTAACCCAACTTCAACTTTCACTCTCAACTGTAAATTTTTTAATTACATTTTTAACCCAACATTTGGGTTTGTCCATATTTGACCCAAATTTGGGTTGAAACAACCCAGCATTGTTTAGAGTGTACAAATGAACATTAACTAAGATTAATAAATCTAAAAGTATTGTTCGTTCGCTGTTAGTTCATGTGAACTAAAGTAGTTAACAAATTAAACCTTAAATTGTTACCATTTTAGTTTTAGTTAACAAAAACAACATTGTTTAGCAATACCGAAAAATAATTTGGAAACTAGCCTATTGGTTATTTCTAAACAAGACAATCTCAGTCTTTAATGGCTGCGATGCTTATTTAACAGTAGAAATCAGTAGAAAAAGTGATTTATATGAAATAGCATGCTAAAAATGTCAGCGGATTTCAATGAAATAGGTAAACAGACACACACAACATGTTAAAAAATGAACAGGAAATACTATTGTTTAGAAAATCTGGTTTGTATTTTGCCAAATCTTCAATAAATTAGAGAAAGGGCTGTTTTAAAAAAGAAATTTAATTTGTCTGTAGATCTTGGGTATGCTTGCTGTCTGACACTTAGACCATGTGACCGGATTTGGACAGGTCTTGATAGATTCCTACATCCAGAGACTGTCATGTTTAATGCTGGATAGATGTAGAGTTATTATGAAATGCATATGGAGGATGGCAGAGAGCATTTGAAATGGCTCTCACTCCTGTCCCTATTAGACGTGCCTCACCTCTGTTAGAGCTGTCCGTATCCGTCAATGCAACTCTGCGCTCTCAGACAGGCCACTGTGGACCTTCCAAACAAAGCGCCTCTAATAATCAATTCTTCCAGTCACAGAGCCTGACAGACTCATAAAGGAATGCAACCGGTCATCTCTCATCCATCCTCTTTGTGTCATCTCCTCCTCACCCTATCACCGTCCCCCTGTCTTCATTCTTTCTCCTTGACTTCTTGTTTCCTTTCACTCTTTTGCTTTTGATTGTTGCTTGTTAGGGGCCATAGGTGTGTAAGGCACCTATTGTATTTGTATGGCAGCTTCTAGAACCGTAGGGCAGAATGTCATGATATTTGGCACAGAGATAGGGGTGGGTCTGTACTTCAATCTCAGAAATCTTTAACCCTATAGCGCCATCAACAGGTCACAAATGCACTTACATTTCTGCTCATAACTGGTTAATCATGTGGTCTAGAAACGTAATAATGTTTTGATTGATTACTTGGCTCACAATACTAGATTTTCTGTAATGGATTTTAAAGCGCCCCTATTATGCTTTTTCGAATATTACCTTTTCTGCATGCAATATAGCTGTTTGTGAATGTTAAAGGTCTGCAAAGTTTTAAAGATCAAAGTGCACAACAAATTATATCGATATCTGAACCACTGGAACAAGTCGTCAGCAATTCCAGCCTCACTTCCTGTTACAAACCTATGTATCAATATAACAAACTTGCATAATGCCAGCCTTCATTGGCTGCCAGCGAACAACGTCTTTGACGCCCTCAAACACTGTAGCTGAGGCCTGGAAGAGTTTGGTTTGTGTACTCGACATGACGAGAAGATGCTGTTTTCTGCGCTGCGATTCCACTTTGCATGCACTTCAAAAGGATGAGGCCTCATGCTAGAATTGATACGGAAAAACCGAGCCATTGTTCGTATCTCTGTTTATCAAGCACAGAGGAAGCCTCCGGAGCTGAAATTCAGATATGGTAATAGGTGTTTAGTTTCTGACACATGCTGTAAGTGGTAGACCAATCACAACAGACTGGGCCATCTGACCAATCAGAGCAGAGTAGGCTTGCGAAAAGGCGGGGTTTAGAGAGATTGAATCTTCGAACCGACCGTTTTAAGTGAAGTGCACACATATTAGGAGCAGTGAGTAATGAACACACACACACACACACACACACACTGCAAACCATGAACACACACACACACACACACACACACACACACACACACACACACACACACACACACACACACACACACACACACACACACACACACACACACACACACACACACACACACACACACACACACACTCAAGGGCACCTCAGTCGTTCCCGGCCAGTATTGAGAATCAAACCGCGACCTTCAGGTTACAAGTCCGACTTTCTAACCATTAGGCCACAACTGCCCCATTCAGACTCTTTGAGAAATGAGGTGATGTCCAAAGTGTTGTTTGACCTTGGATGCATGTAAACCAATTGTAGGAGACCTTCAAAACAAAAATAAGAACCTTTTAAAAAGCATAACTTTAATAGTTTTTCACATACTCATTTCCCCCCAATCTTTACCCAAAATGTGTGGCAATGATCTTCAGACCAAGCCTTATAAACTGGATGTTCAGAGTGTTGTGTTCACAGGTGATTAAATCAGCCGTAGTAAAGTTCTCCGTCAATGAGCCGCCTCTTGATATTTCAACCGAGCAAATTTTACTCTAGCATGCTGTTAGGTCACAGTGAAGTGCGTCCACACTGCTGACATGTTTACTGGTTTTGCTTATCCACGTTGTGTGCATGAAATAGATGCTGACACAGTCAAAACACGTCATTAAAAAGCGCTAACTGTTTCGGTAAATGATTTCGGCCCTACAAAACTATTTCATCCGAAAACGATTTTTTGTTTTTGTTGCCTTGAGTGTCCCTGTGCATTTTTTGGCGAGGACAGCGTCCCCTGGTGGTAAATTGCAAATCCTAATTCTGCTATCCCCTGCTTCTTTGCACGTTGGTAAAAACTAAAGCATCTCTTCTGCTGCTGTGCTCAGTCCCGTAATTGCTGCTCGCAGCTATATTTTCTCTTCCTTTTCTCAGCCCCTCTCTAATAACCTCTTGTCTTCTTTCCACAGATGGTTGGAGAAGAGAGGAGAGACAATGGTATACTGGAAAAAGGTCATATCTGAGGTACAAGATGGCGGGATGCTTCTGAAAAAGGTTGGATTGTTGTTGATTGCTGTTTTCTGCCAAAGTGCAAAGTTGTGCTATGATAGAAAACAAACTCTTGTTGGCTTCTATACTCTAAACTCTCAAATATATCAAAACCTTTTTCAATAGTTGGACCCAAAGTAGTTTTGGTTTATAACGCTGTTCTGTACGCTGTTTATATGCCGTATAGCTATCAAAGAATATGCCCCCTTTAAACACAGTTTTTATTTGAAGAAAAACGTTGAAATTTGACCTTCAGATGTAGCCTTGTGATGTCTAGTACATTTTCTCTTGTGTTTTGTAGCAAGCGCACTGAGATGCAGGAATTAATTCAAAGACCCTTTGAGTTTTTCACCATAAATTGAAGTTATTACCTCAGGGTACCGGCCAAAATTACTCCCTCTGCAAATTATTTATATTTTCCTGTTTTAGAAATGAGCAGAATTTGCAGACTAGTGCCTGATTAGCATTCTTCAAGAGAGTTCACACATACAGCGAGCGGAAGTCATTCATTTGCAATAGGTTCTGGCAACACAGAGATGTGGGTGTGTCCATTGACAAAAGTTACTATATGCAAATGAGCAGCGATGCAGTGACTACCAATAGGAGTGAAGACAAGCATGTGATCCATGTCCTGTGAGATACTATAGGAACTGCATTCTGAGTTTGATGTTTATTTTGTTCATGATGCATTGTGCACTGCTGCTGTTTCTATTCAAACATTTCCCCCTGTAGAATGATAACTTTTATTGCTGAGAAAACAGATTCCTTGTCAAACAAGAAAGACATGCTATTTCTCTAGTCGGCAAGTAAGGTCAAATTTATTTGTATAACGCTTTTCACAAAACACATTGATTCAAGCAGCTTTGAAGCAGTTTATAATATTCGAATGTCTTCGTTATTATTCATTATGCATTTAGCAAATTAAAGCTGGGCGAAAATATTGTTTACATTTAATGATACAAGCAATCAAGCAGCTGAGATGCTATATAGTATAAAGTATTTATCGCCCTATACAAAAAAACTGTGTGTGTGCATACTTATATATCCAACTTTATATAGAGAGATGAGTGATAATATAGTTACATTTTGTGACAAGGTAAAAAATCTGGCATTTGAGATTTGCTATATAGTGGTATCGCTTTACGTAAGTATTCAGTGGAGACATTAAAGCATGTGATTTACCGGTTGTAAATATATATATATATACGTATATTGTATATATCATTTTCAAAAGCTGAGGCAAGTTGAGTGATGTACCAATAATGTTGAAAGCCCACTACAATCCACAAAACACACAATTGCCAACCTGATGCAATAAAATCACTGTTGCCCCATTAATCTAGTTGTATATGAAATTACCACTGACTATCGGCTAAATTGGAGGTTCATGTATTTTGTATTTTATTCTAATGAGAGGGTAAGGAAAGATTTGAGATGCTACTGAATGTGGATGTGAGAGATCATATAGTTGTAATATATCAGGGCACATGTGATTCGGCTGTGTTCGGTGTGTGTGTGTGTGGACACATTTTTATCCTGTGCTTCCACTAAGGAGCAATTAGCATTCATTAAACCGTCAGCCACACTTTAAGCGCCTCACAGGGGGAGTGCTCTCATTTCACCATTTGATTTTCCTTTGTCTACAAATAGAACAGCACAAAGAGGACTCTGTGGTTTGGAGGCACAATCTGTCAGCTGGGAGTTTGGTGGAACCATTGGGCTACTAGTTGTGCTCATTAAAAACCCTTTGGCTCGTTGTAAATTGGTGAATTTTTATGTGAATGACGGACCATTGTAAGCAATGCCAAATGTGTCATAAATATGCATATGTTTTGAGTATGTTGGCGTAAATGTTTTGTGCACTGAAATGGTACTTAAAAGTTTGTGTGTCATTCTTGCTGTCTTTTGAAGCTCATATTAACAGTGTTACCCGTTCTGCATTTTTTTATATTAGGAATATAAATCGTCTGCGTCCTGTCCTTTCGCTCAAGAGTACTGCTGTGCTTGTGCATGCCCTTGTAACATCACCAGTCGACTATTGTAATGCTTTGTTTTATGGGCTTCCTTCCAAATATCTTCATAAATTACAGTTGGTACAAAATGGCGCAGCTAGAGTCATTACCAAAACTTCCATTTCTGAACATATTTCTCCTGTTTTACAAAACTGGCATTGGCTCCCAGTTAAATTCTTTGTAAATTTAACATTTTTACTATTAACTTACAAAGCACTTAAAGGGGTCATATAATGCAATTTTTGTACAAGCTAATATGATTCTTTAGGGTCTAAATTAAAAGTTTGTAATATACTTTAATTAAAAATTCTCATTAGTATTGTAAGAAAACACTTATTTAACCTGGTCAAAAACAGCTCTGTTTTCAGCACGCCGTTTCAGTGCATATGCCTTTAAATGATCATGAGCTTTGCTCACCCCGCCTCTCTGTTCTGTGTACACCGTTTGTAACTCAATAACACAATAACCATAACGTGTTGATCATTATAAACGTGGGATTATGAATTATATTGAGAACGTCGTACATAGAAAACATGCCGTAATGTACCCTGAGTGTAAACCTTAGACGCATTCATTGTGAAGCGTGCAGCTAGCGATTTGCAAAGATTAATATAAATATTAATATAAAGTTTAATAAAATGTTACGCTCACTTCAGTTGTTCTAGAGGTTCAGCAGGAACACGAATATCTGGTACCAATCCCTTTTTCATGAGCAGCTTCTTAGCAAATCCAGCTTTATACTGATCCTCGTTTATAAAGCAGTCTGGTGAGAAATGATTCGCGCAAATATGAAAGCATTGACGTTGCTCGTGGGGAATATTTCCTTCGAAAACAAAACTCAGCCACTGCGTCTTCAGCGGTTCGGATTTAGGAACATTAAAATGACTGTGTTCGTTATTACACCCAAGAACAGAACACCACAATCGCTTAGACGCCATTCTGCTCATAGACAGTGCTCCAGCATATCAACAATGACCGCGCCGGTCCGCGCGGACTATGATTGACAGCTCGCTCACGAGCGAGGGCGGGTCTGTGTTGAAACGCTGCTGTCAATCAACAATCGTGGGAGGGGCTTCCGAGCGTGTGACGTCACACGGTTGAACGGCTCGATTTGAGATAGGGGAAAACATATAAGGAGATTAAAACAAAAACACTGGATGGATTTTTATCATTTTATGATGGTTGTGTACAGGCACTGCCGACACACATTTCAGTACAATCAACTTGTAAAAGTGCATGTACCATTATATGACCCCTTTAACAACTTGGCTCCTTCATCTTCTAGATCTTGTTCATATACTGTACATACTCCTTTCCGCATTTTAAGATCGGCTTCTGCACTTATACTTGTTCTTCCACGCACTCTGACAACTTCCATGGGGTCACGAGCTTTTAGTTATGCGACTCCCTACTTAAGGAACTCACTTCCTGTAGAGTTCGCAACAGTTCTAGTCTTTCGGTCTTTAAATCTAGTCCTAAAACTGATCTGTTTAGGCAGGCCTTTATGTGATTTAATGTGTGTTGCTGTACTGGTTTTATTGTTAAATAAATGTCATTGCGTTTATGGATTTTGTAAGGTGTCCTTGAGTGCCATGAAAGGCGCCTAAATAAAATGTTTAAACAAAAATGTGCCTATCAGACCATTTGTTTTCGATAGTAAACCAAGTAATTTCGGGTAATGTGAGGTTACTTGACCAGATAATGGCATTAGAATGTAAAGGTGATATGTGTAGTTTCTGTGCCACTAGCAGTATCAAACAGAATTGCAAATTTAATGACAAATTGCAAACACTCCAACCAGTAAGGCATTATGCAACAACATATGTTTTGAATATTAGTATGCCACATTGCTGTCACATAACCTCATCACATTGCATTTTCAAAATCAGCAAGTGATGTCATTTTGCATTGTTTGTGTGTGTGTGTCTTGTCGCAGTCCACTCAAATAATGAGTAAAAATAGACACCGCTGATTTTTCTTCTGGTTCATTCACTGCACTGGAAAATTAATGGAATTAATTCATTAATTCATCTTAATTCATAATAGCATACTACCATACTGTGTTTGCTATTTGTGCTATATGGACTCTTACAAATAAAGGTTCCAAAAGGGGGTTTCATAGTGATGCCATATAGAAGAACCATATTTGGTTCCCCAAAGAACTTTCAGTGAACCATTCTTACAATAATCATGTTTTTCTTAGTATGTAAAACATTTTAATAATCTAAAGAACCTTTTTTCAGAGCTTTTGGAAAGGTTCCATGGATGTAAAAGGTCCTTCATGGAACCAAAGATGCCAGTAAAGAACCTTAATTTTAAGTGTGTAGTATGCTACTGCAAGTTCAGTCAAAGTCAAGAGCATCGCATTGCATTTAGGGATGCAATTTTGCATGCATCGGACTCTGTTTTATACTACACATTTTGGCATTTGTAACAGGTATTTGTATTCTATTCATACAGAAAATATTACAACCCAGGCTCATTGGAAATACATGCCTTTGGCGGCATTTCTGCAAAATGATATTACGTTGCTTTTTATCCGAAACAGATGAATGAAATATCAGGTGAGTGGTGCTAAAAAGCCACACACATGCTGGTTATGTGATGCAAACATCAAAATGTATCAGCTTACAAATCATACACTAAAAGTGTTTGATGTCATAAAGTATTGTGCAATGAGCCGCGTGAAAATAAATCTTCATCAATCGATAATCTGCCACTGGAATCATAATTTGTGTGAAGAGACATACACGTCTTTGGGTTTTTACTGCCACTAGTGTTCATTTCAGCTGGAAACTGCTGTGATTTGTATGGATAGGTACGTTTTTGGAGTTGTGCATAATTGTATTACAGAGACAGTGAGCCTATTGGTTGAAATATTATGCACAGTATGCACAAGATATGCTATTCTGAACATGTCCACTCATATCACAGATTGCAATTCCATTTCCATTTGTGTTTCCACTACTGGTGTATAATTTATACCCCTCACCT